CCAAGCGACGAAAACCCAACCCCGATGGCAAACACCGGGGGGGGCGGACTCGGGTATTATGAAACGAGACGCTGCTGTTGCTGTGTGTGTATGTGTCTCCTGTCATGTATCTCGAGCGTTCGTTCGTGGTGTCGGCACTAGCAAAGGTTGAAGGTTGCATGACGTACGATACCATAACCACTGGACCGATTTTCAAAGCTCCAATACTCCATGACGAAGAGGACGCCGAAATTCAAGTTATATATACGGTGCCTGAAAGCTCTCGACGAGACGTTTCAAACGCCGCCATTCTCGACACCGTCGCTGTTTTTCCTGTGGAGATACCGAGCTTCGAAAATCGTTCCAGGGAGTGTGGTATCTTACGCAACATACGGTGTGTTGCCAGTCTTCGACATACTCCAACCCAGTGTGAATTGTGTAGTGGGAACATAGTTTCCACAATAAAAAGTAGGACAAAAAAAAAGCACACAACAGACCTGAATACATTGGCACCGCGGTCTTCGGTACTGTAGATGTTGTGACTCCACGGACCACTTTTTCTCCAGCCCACTGAGCTATTCCCCTTTTTACATGGGCTCGTGGAGCAAAACAAAAATCCTAATCTTTCACGCCGTCTTTTGAGACCCCGCGTCGTTCACTGGCCAGCCTTTACGCTCGGTCGACGCCAGTCATGCAACCACCAATGATAGCGTTGACGTTTATTCTATCCCCATGCAGCTCGAGATCGACGAGTTGGTTGTATCGGACACCTGTTAGCTCGGTCCATGCTAAAAAACACATTCACACAAAGCAAAACAAACGCCCGCAGTTTTCGTCGCGCTCGAAAGGCTGGCATCTTTTCATTGGTCGAGCCCGTTGGCAACTGGTCGAATCCAACCTTGACAAACACAGCCTTCCGCGGGCACCACGCGCTTGCCACACACACACACATTTTATGTTTTCCGTCGCACTGAGACTGACGTGCTTTCGTCCGTCAGCTTGTTGGCACGGTCGATGCTCGAAAAAAAAAGCACCGTCACAGCACTGTCTGTTATCAACCGCACTAACTTTGACGTCTTTTCATTGCTGGATTGGTTGGCGCTGTTGATTTGTAATGATGCCAAAAAAAAAAAAAAGACACAGAAACACGCACCTGCACGGCGAACTTGGCCATCGTGTAAGGGATCTGCTTGAACAGGATGGGCGCGAACCCCGAGTAGAAGCCGCGGATGACGCCCTCCTGCCTGAGGATCTTAGGCACCGCAGACACGAGCCCGTCCGCATAGGTGGGGTCGGACACCAGCCTGATCCGCGTCGCCTCCAAAGGGCACAGGAACACGTCCGCAACAAACTCTGCCGTCGCGGCCGCTCCCAGGTAAATGGGGAGTCGGTACTCCCACGCCTGCGCGAATGAAACCGCGTCGCCCCCGACCACCGCAGGAGGAACGGTCAGACGAGTTTGGTGACGGTTGCCCAAGAGACGACTGTAGTAGCTCGATTGCTCGGTAATTCGGTAACGGTCGGAACACGGGCCGATACCCGCCACAAAAAGTCTGCACGACATATTTCCAAGACCACCGTTTTTTCGGCGTTGGAATCCTCTCGGTTGCGGGTGTGGAGCGTTCGAGCCATGAATCACACCTACCGGGTGTGCCATGACTCGCACACTTCCGGCATCTTCCGTAGAGAACATGTCACCAACTTGACTGTACTGGGACTGGGAGGGGCTGTACGCCTGCCCCGAACTGCTGCAATTATTTCCCAAACAGGGCCCGGCCTGATATGCGCCGGCAAATCGTTTCGGCCCATGGCGCTAAGAACAGCCACAACAGGGTGCACTACCGACCATCACGAAGGGCAACAACATCAGTAAGAACCAAGTCAGCCCAAAATCCACAGCAACAGCAACAACCACCAACACCAAACCGACCGCGCACGCACCTTCCGGGTGCCCAGCTGCTCGGTGGCCTTGACCTTGATGACCTCCACACCCCCGAACTTGAAAAAGCCCTGGATGAAGTATCCGACCACGGTGGGCCCAAGGCCTGTTGCAAGCGCACCGACGCCCTCTTTCTGTTTCGGGAGATCGTGCAGGGCATTAAAAAAACAGATAGGGACGACAGATCCACGTCAAGCTTAAGAATCTGCCGTAAGCATGTTTGTGTTCTCGGCACAGGGTATACAAGCCCGTCGGGGGACCAGGTTTAATGCCGCAAGTGCAAAGCGTCGCTCGGAGTACATGCGACGGCCGACGACGACACCGACATTGGAGGCTCGGGTTGGCGAGGGATCGACGTACTCGCGGTGCACACGCCTTTGAGCACCTCGCAAGAAGCCCCACCTGCACAGAAGCCGCCGAAAACACTTCGGCTGCAGCGACGATGAGTGGCCACGTCCAGCACAATCCGTGGATCCTAAACCACACAACATGCTCGACGAACTCTACCAAATACTAAGAACCTGACCCTCGACACCCCAGACCGGCTGCAGCACGCACCTTGATTACTTGCGAGAAGCTGCCAATCATCCCTCGGTTGTAGGTGACGGGGTCGAGCTGGATGCGGGTCTTGACAACATCGACAGGGCAGAGGGCGCCGTGGGTGATGCCGCAGCAGATGCCGCCAGCGAGCCCCCCCTTGAGGAAGTGCACCGCATCGAAGGGACCTTGCGCCTGAGGTGCCATTGTTTTTGTCTGCCAACGGAATGAGTTCGAAAGCGATTGTGGGAGGGGAGGGAGGGCGTGTTCGTGCTATGCGTGCCGTAGCTGTTAGACCGTCGACCGCGACGTGTTCGAGAGGGCGGAGCTTTGTTCCCAAAGTAACGCATGGCCAAGTGTTCCTCCCTACTTCGCCAAAGGTGGCTCCAAAATGTTTCCCTATCCCATCCGTATCACTCCCTCCCGTTCTAGTCCACTCTCTATGCCCTTTGTAGCTACCGTCTTCTGGACGGAGAGGGAGAGGGACACAAGGGTAAAGCCGGACTTGCTAATCAGAGGGCACCGCTCAGTTGCTGTCCAACAAAAAGCAAAAAATACAAGTCGGAGCGGCATGATTGGGATGATTGGGGCCAAGCACGCCATGGACACTTGCGGACGGATTATACACGATTCAGCTGTGCAGGTAAAACCCGTTATTGTTCAAAGAGGGTTGTCATGTTGTCATTTGCGTCAAGCCCAAGGACACACACGGTCGGTGTCAAACGAGTCCAGCTGTGCCGCGAGGGCCGAAGGACTAGCTGACTGTGTTGGTCACTCTTTCGAGATTGCGCTGTTTGCCAGCCACGACTCCGGCCATTCCGACCATGGCGCAGGTGCTAGCCACGTCTTACCCACAAATCCTTGTGGAAAATCGTGGTTCGGGGAGCCGTGGAAGGAAGCCAACAAGTTGGTAACGGCAACACATTTTGTCGAAAATTTATGGTAAGGAGAATCGAGTGCGAAAGCGCCCAGAGCGAGCTGTCGGTGCATTCCTCGCGGATGGACAGATGTGGACATGGTGAGAACGGAGAGCACCATACTGCGTCAGACGTTGCTCTTCGTGTCCGATCCGCCACGTCCACTCCCTCTCCCTCCTCTCTCCACCAGGACCGATTTTCGAGTATGGCAACCGGAGAACCTGCTTCTTCGCTATTCTCTCTCTGGGGCACACTATTGGTAACGAACGTGTGGCGCCTGCCGCCAGCTCTGCTCGCACCTCCACACGCTGCACTCTTCATTTCTTTCTCACCTGGTTCCTAGACAAAGGAGATGACTCTACTTCTTGGCAAGCTTCTCCGGTCCAACGAAGCGCTCACCTGTTTTGGGGGGAGCTGGCAGAGGGAGGATGGGGGGGGATGACCGAGCCGCGGCGCAATCAGAGAACGGGACGACAACGACGACAAAATACAGTAGTAGTCGAACAAAGAACAGAACATCACGCACGCGCCGTGGGGGGGGGGGGGTACTCATAGTCGTG